TTACAACACGTTGAGCTGCACAGTAGTGCCTGGGACTGCTGCAACTCATGTGATTTATCACTCCCACTTAGGAGAAATTGGTGGAGTAGGACATTGTTACTGCTCTAATTTGGTCTTGATTCTTTGGCACTTGGCATTTGAGAGTTTGTGCTCGATTTTTGCCCATAAACCTGATCCTAGCTCTTGGGTATTTCATATGGATGCTCCATTCCCTCAGAGAGCAATGCACTGGGAAGAGGTTGCTCTTTACATCTCCTGTAGTAGTTGTCCTGCTCTGCATAAATATGTGATCCCTAGAAGCAGTCCTTGACATCCTCATTTACCTGTGGCTCCATCCCCCAGGCTGCAGACTCAGTCTCTCTCTGGCTGCTTTATTTGGCATTTGGTATCGAACGCTCACTGGCCCAGAGAAACTGCCTGGGGACAGGGCTGAGCCCAAGGCTGAGATTTAGATCTGCTTCCCTTCTGACTGAGGAAGACCAAACCTTGGCAACTTCTCCAGATGGGAGGCCACTGATAATCCTGAGTCCATGTCTCTCTCCTTTTCCAGTCTCATTTTCAAGCAGCATGCTTAATTCAGGAGCAAAAGAGCAATTTTTCTCAGCTCGTGCACTTTAGAAATATACTCTTGAAAAGCCTAGTATGTACAATTAYAGCAAAAGCATTCCCCTGCTTTCCGTTAGACTCAAATCGGCATTTAATTTAACTTCGCAGCTAAATACAAGGGCATTTTCAAGTAAGTGACTGCTCTCTACTAGCACTAGCTTCACTGCAGTAACATGCACCTTCCCAACAATCCCTAGCTCAAATGAAATTTCACTGAAATCCCACAGAAGACGTGCAGAAGCCGGTGGAACGCAGAGCACTGGTCATGGTATCCCCACATACCACCAAGGGCTGAATACAGGCAGAAAATGAGGCTCTTCAGCAGCTTTACAGCACATTTTTAAGCACTGTGCTGAACTGCAACAGCAGTGCCCGTCAAGTAAGGCACTGAACCACATTTTTACCTTTAGTACTAAGTAGTTCATCTCATTTCCAGCAGACTACTTGCGTATTTCAGGTAGCTTTAAGGAGAATAACACCTTAATAGAGAGCTAAATTTACCTTTTCTATCAACACCAGAGGCAAAGCTTTCAGACTCAGCAACATTTCAACTCCCTAAAAAACACACCATCAATAACGTCGCTGAAAATTGCAAGTGTGTCTTTCAGTCACATCATAAATTGCATGTCAGCCTTTAGAAATAGCTGAAACAACCTTGCAGCAGTTAAGTGCTGGGTTCTCTTAATTCCCTACCTTTGATGCCGATCACAAAGCGAAGGGGTGAACCTATCATTTACCTCGAGCAGCTCACCGTGAAGCAACCCAAGACGAAAATGCTTTGCCTGCTCTTGGTTCTTAAATAATGTTAAATAATGTTAGTTAATTGAGGTCATCGGAGCCGTCTAACTTCTCTTTTCACTCAATAAAGCAGAAAGGAAAAAGAAATTCAAGACGGGAACGGTTTTTAGCTTGGTAAGAAGAGACAGCAGATTCTCCCGGAGGGAGTCCAAATAGATAGGTAAAACATGTCACTTCTTGATCAGTGAGAAAAAAAGTGGAAGATCTGATACCAAAGCAATACTGCTACTAGAATCCACAGTTCTTCCTCAGATCAGGAGGAAAGAGCAGCAGTTATTTTACTGGAAAAAAAAAAAACAAAGAAGTGCAGTACAATTTCCTCAGCTCTGAGCAAATCTAACGATGATAAAATGTCCCAAGCAGCCCCCAATGTGCAGCACACCGGTCTGCATGTGCTGCCTGTGCCAGGAGCACTGGCAGGAGGAGGGAGCCCCACAGCTGCTCTGCCAGGCAGGATGCTCAAAGGCCTCTCTCACGTTCAAACGCCTGAGCTAGGGATACTGCAATAACTCCTACAGGTTTTAATGTTGGATATGTTCATAAACTTTACGTTTTAATACATCCTTACACTACACAAAGAATATATTCTTCCCTTCTTAATGTTAAAAAGAAAAGCAGCTGTAACTTGAAAGCTTTGAGGACAAACCCATTCTCAATTACAGCAGACGCTGGAAGAAGCAGGAGAACAGCCTATTTCCATGGTGGCATCGAGATATCAGAGGACTCCTCCAAGCAACCAGCTCTGCTCTGTTCGCCTGTTTGGTAGAAGGGTATTCAGAGGAACGGTAGCTTTTATTCCAACAGTGTAGATAGCAGTACCTCACCAAAATTTAAATGTCAAAGAACACACACACTTAAATGTCAGCTACCAACAGACAAATGCCAAGAGACAAATGTCAGAAATACTCCCTTGTCTCCCCCTGAATATATCTGTATCTGCACAAACCCAGGCCACAACAGGATACGTAGAAGCCAGTTTTCCTGCAGTGCCCTCAGGACATCTGCAGCACCTCSTGTCAATAAACCCTGGATCTGGCACGGATCTGGCTGCGTTATTCCAAGCACCATGTGCTTGGCTTGAGCTGCTTGTTGCCTGCAAGGTGTTGGAGCCCAATGCTAGTTGGACCTGAAACTTCCAGGGAAAAATCTCCCACACAAAGAAACACGCTACTTGGAGCAATCCTGCTGCTCCAGTTGCTAATTCCACACCTGGGTCAAGGTCCGCGTCCCCCACTGGATTTGCCTGCGATTGCTCTGTTTTAAGAGGTGCCTGCAAAAGTTGCAAGGGAGACTTCCCAGTCGTTCCTGGTAGCTACAGCTTTTATTATATTTATACCTACAATATTCCTTGATTTTATTCTGATTAGTTCCTTTTAAAATCCTGTAAGCCTGGGACAACAGATGAACTTTTCAGAWGTAGTTGAATGACTCAGGAACCCAAACAGTAGTGATTTTGAGCAGGATTTGGACTCTTGAGAAATTGAGTGCTTTTAAAAATTTKACTTGCTTTAATTAAAATCAATTGATTGATTCCTTGGGGAAAAACAAATAAATTTTTACACACTTGACTTGGTGTGAACGTTTCATCCCAATGACTTGAATGGGTCTTTTGTCATGATTTCACCCTTCATTATCTCCTACAAAAGTACTCTGGCAACACCTTAATTAAAGATGATGTATTTGTTTAGAAATTTCACTCTGCTAATTGCAGCTGCTTCCACTAGAGTTGAGAAATAAAAAGTTAGGTAGTTCCTGACACTTAGGACCACTAAATGCATGGAAATTTGAAGTGCACTTTAATTAGAGCGTTGCTAAYAAAAMAAAAAAAAAGATGTGACTTCTGTAATTATTGTGATTTGCTTCCAACCCTAGTGGTTCAAAAATTGAACTAAAACTTAATCAAAGTTAAAATGTGAACTTCATTCAAAAGAGTAAACCTGATGTTTTCACCTGAAAAAGAAATATCTTTTTCCTCTTTCTCTAAATATCCTGGGTCTCTACATTGTATTTTGGGTCTTTGACTTTCTACCTAAATAACTTTTTTTCTTCCTTTTTAAAAATCCATCTATTACTTATTAAAATTAAAATATTTAACTGGAATTACTTTGACTTCTTAGGGTTTCCTCTGAATCACTGAAYGCTGTTTAGAGAAGAAAAAGAAACAGATTAAATCTGTTCTGCYCTGGAGAATTCTTTCTTTTTAATCATATTCAGAGCCGCACATGAAAGTCTACGGATGGGCAGCTAGTTTGGAGCCTTCAAAAGGGGGTTCTTTATATATTTTTCATAAACTATTTTTAGTGTTCATTTCACTATACAAGTTAAAAAGAAGCAATCAAATAAATATATATTTTCAGTATATTACTTTTTTTAAACTTGCTTTTATTCCAAGTAAGGTCTTGGGGCAATAGATTTCACACACTAATTGAATTCTGTGTTTCTATTCTGTTTTCTTTGACCAATTTCAAGTTATTTCCTGTCAAAGTCACTGAACTTCTCTTTGCTCTTGTACTATAAGAAAGAAACATAAAGATTTGAAATGCCTGTAATATTTCACTGTTTTGTACACCTTCTGCATGCCCATACCCACACTCTATAGTATACATACACATACAAACTATATCACAGTTGAAATCTTCACTATAAAGTAAACCATAAGAAAAGAGAGAGAAAAACTTGGTAATCTTCCTACAGCAGGAAGAAAAAAAAMCCTCAAGAGTTTGGGGACACTTGAACCTTCTTATTTAATCTCTGTCTCTTTTGGGAGCACTTACCTGTTAGCACAGAAGGCATGGAACCAAACAAGACAYTGCATCACACAGGGACACTGACACATGCACCCAGGTTACATACATCAAAATAACCTTCTCTATCATTTATTTTGACACAATCACTTCACATTCCTCGCTCACAAGGATTATCCTCAGGATTGGCTTACAGGAGAACTGTCTTGGAATTGCTGGATGAGAATTGCTCTTGAACAAGTTTATGGGTTTTCTGTGTTTCTAAAAGGTACTTTGTGATTTCTGCTGCTTTTACCTTCTCAGAAGGTAAGCCAGCAACACTAAGTTAAGGACACACTGTGCAAACAGTGATCTGCTCTCACCATTCTTCATACAGGACTTACCTTTATGGAATTGTAGCAAAATTTAAATGCAAAGCAGAAGATGCTAACCTCAGAGATCACTGCAATTTATACAATTTGCCCAAATAAACTAAATGCAAGTTTTCAGACTGTCTGGCAAGCAGGACCTAACATTGGGCCTGTTATGTAGAAGCTCATTTCTACTAATGCATTCCTTACGTACTGCCTGAAAGTGCAAGATCACAGAATTTAGGTATGCTTCATTTTGCAACTATTTTCTTTGCATCAAGTGGAAATCTGGTCCTCTAAATGTGTTTTTACGTATAATTTGTTATTTTGCAAACATAGTTGCAGATATTACCAAAAAAAAAAAGTCTACCAAATCTACATACTGTGTATGATGAAAAACACTTTGATCAACACCAGCTACTGCAAGACTGCTTTGCAATTAAAAAAAAATGCAGTTAAAAATGTAAAGAAAAGTCTCTTGTTTAAACATATGTATCCTCACCTTGCGGACTCCTCTGCCAAGATCTTCTCCATAATTGGTCCCCAGAATTTCAAAGTGAACATTGGGATTCCCCCCATTTTCTGCAAATTCGAGTTCTCCAGTCAAGCCGTTTACTCCACCCTAGGGGAAAAAAAAGAACAGACTGAATATACAGAAGCAGTCAATCTCTGTTTTTTTTTCAACCCAAGTATTTAACAAATGCAGAATATGTACGTAACTACCAGAATTAAAACAGTTTTGCAGAGATATCATTTGTCTAACCATTCAGAATCCAAAATTGTCTCTGTATTGCTTAAGGATCCCACCAACGAATCAAATCCAACAATGCTGAACAGGTATCAAACAAGCAACAACTACGCCCCACGTTTYTGCATTAGTTTTGCATCAATCTGCAATCAGCAGAGAAGATGAGAGGGCTGCCTGGCTGAGTAGAGGTTTGTCCATTTTTCCTTCACAAGTTTTCGAGCCCCACGAATTCACCAGAGCAGCAGCAGTGCAGAGCAGGTTCCCAAGCTCGCTTTTGCTTTGTTAATTGTAGGTGGAGGCGGTGGGAATTGCAAAGAGGAAAGAGTGAATATTCACGATGAAGCACCGGAGATGAAAAGGCTACACACGCCACAGCAATGTGCTAAGTGTATCCCAGGGCTAATCCAACATGACACACAACCCAGCTTTGTACACAAASGGGGATGCCTTGGAACAGTAAAGGGCAACAAAGCCAAGGGAAATGTAGATAGTTAAAATGTTAAGCCTTAGAAAAAAAATCACTCCGTTTTCAGGTTCAGATAAAAAATGAGACTGTTAATCCACTTCACTCAAAAATACTACGTATGTTTTAAATATGCACAGGACAATTTCCGTCTCTGCAGTAAAACCATTATAAAAACTACAACAGGGTATTAACATGGCATAGCCATGCTTTAAAAAGGATGAGACTGGTGCGGTTCTGAGGGCTCTTCCAGCTCAAGTTGGATCATTTGGATGGCAGAGCTTCACGAGAGCCACCCGGCACGCGGAGTGCCTCGCTAGGCACCAACCTCTTGCTGAATCCCCATCTACCAAGCTGGGGTGTCCCATCTTCTGCAGCTCTGCAATGCCAGCCCGTGTTAGTGTGAAACAGAGCAAGTGCTGGCCTTTTATWAAACATTAATATGTTTATAATAAAGGAAATTGCGCAGAGAGAGACCTTCAAACCTTCTAAGGGGCTAGGACCGTCAAGGAAACCTTTTCAACATAAATATTTTATGATATGCTCTTTTCAACCTAAAACAAGAAAATACTTAGCATTTGTGTATCTTTAACCTCTTAAATTATCTCTACTTTTCAGCTGAGGCGCTGGAGTAAGAAAGAGAAGGGTAACCTGCTGTGCAAGGGTCCATCTAAGGGTGTCGTGCAGGCTGGTGCTGGGCCACGGCAGCCTCGGCGCGAGCCAGCCAGCCCAGYGCAACACACAGCACTACCCGGGGCACAGCAGGAAGGTTTCCTRTTAGCCTGGGCACAAACCTGTAAAGATGACACTTGGCAGGCTTACAGGTTGGAGCTGGGCCAGCCTCGGGTGGTTCAGAGGGCAGRTAAAGTGAGTTTTTGCCTACCTGTAAAGTCAGGCAAATGCATTCCYGGCTGGAGCAATGGGTTTCAGGAATACAAAGCAGACTCCTGGTAACTTAAGGCTCACTTCACCCTAGTCACTGACCAGAAATAAAACCGTGCTGCACACACCTTATGTTGTTATTAAGCAGCCTCACAGTGACACAGTATTTCTGATAACCTTTCACAAATCCATATTTCAAAGCTTGATCTAAAAACTGTCATAGTCCAGTAGTTCTGGGGATTGAAGAAAAACCTCGAGTGAAGATGCTTTAAATCAGGGAGTTTTATTGGGAAAACTGAAGCAGCTTTATTTTCCCACTTTTGAGTAGCCCTAATAATTGCAGGGCCATGAATATTCAGAGCGGGTGAAAAAAGTAAACTATTCTTGTCATAACAAATACAAAAACTGAGGTTTTCAGTAACATTTGTCCTTATCTGAAGAAATGTCATCAAAACGATTACCCGAAGAAGGATTTAACATCAGTCACATCTGAAGGATTAAAATCTGCTTTCCAAGAAAGAAAAAAAAAAATAATTCTTTGCATGGACGCAATATCTAAGATCTCAGAAAGGGCACCAGGCTTAACCACYGTATTTTGAAATGCAGTATCTACAGCAAAACCTCTGGGTACGTTTGTTCACCTGGCCTTTTCAATGGCTGCTGGGGTTGGGCCAAGACACACGCTAAGCACACGGACTATTTTCCTCCCATCTTAAATCCAGCATTCACCACAACAGAAACTTTTCTTATTCACGTATTGTGGTGATTTCCAAGACATCTCATGCAAGTCTGTCTTTGATTGGAGTTACCTCTCCTCGAGTGTGCTCAGCGTTAGGAGCCCAGGTAACTTCTCTGGGAAGTTTCTCTCGCTGCCCCGTGTAGCATTTCACACGGTGCTTATGTTTCTGCTTACAGCTCTAAGAAGAGTTTTGTGACAGCCCTCCTGTATTTCCCCATAGGCTCTGCACTACCTGGATCCCTGCAAAACGTTTAATTGATTTATTACATAGTGGAAAGAGACCTCGGAGGAAATGGCCATCCGTGACAGTTACGGAACCAGCAACTTCCTGATGAAATCTCTCAGAGTCATCGCGACGTTAATTAAGATAATGGGTAAGAGGCAGAAATATCTCCCTCCGTTCAGCTTCCTTAAAGAACCAATACTACTTAGGAGGAGCGCAGGACCGATTTATCATCTCCTTGCTAAAACTCCTCCAAGAGCGAGCCACAARCTCACAATTTCCCGACACATTTAAAGTTGAAGGGTGAAATGTCAGTCGTTAGGACAAAAATGTTTTACTTACGTCTCTGATCACYGCTCTGGGCTTCGCAGAGCTATTATAAAGCTTAGCAATGTAGCTAGAGTCTACTTGGGTCTTGTCTGGGCTGGCAAGACAAACTGCAGTTTATAAACACGTCAGCAGGGCTATACCGCAAGCAAGTCCCTGCACTAAGTGCTATTTACCCAGCAGTCAGGAGCTCACATGGGAACATCAGCTTGCCAAGCATCAGGTATAAAATATTCCACTGCTTCTCACTGCGCCTTTTCAAATGGCCCTTTTTTTGCAAAATACAGTGCTGCTGATGCACGAGCTATTTTGCCATTAAGGAAAAAGCCGTGGCTATAAGCAGAATAACTCCTCTAAGCAYGGGCTGTGAGCATTTTGTGTTCTTTGACAACGTTTTCAGTACCAAATTTGCTCRGTTTACAACTCAAAATAGCATTTTCAACTGGCAGCCAGGAAATCTATTATCTGAGAAACAATTTGATATCTGTTTCATACATCATCACTGAACATCACTGACAATAACGCTGAGATCAGAACTGCCCGTGATTCATGGAGCAGCATAAGGTACAGCTCATTTTGCAAGCACAAATAGGCTCTAGGCTGCTGCTAGCCCTAGAGTTTGCTCTTTATCAATGAGCAAAACAAAAGAGACTCACTGGGAAGAGATCCAGTGGCCTGAAAGAAGATGCAGGTGAAAACTGGATGTCATTTTTTGGAGCTGATCCTCCATATAACCACATTTGTTTTGATTAGTTTTTCTAATGGTGGAATTGCTTTCCAGTAATGGTTATTTCTTTCACGGCGAGGCAGAWACCTGCAACTGCACATGTGTGTTTGGGGACAGCTCCTCCTGAAGCAGTGAGTGCAGGATTCTCTGGGGAAGTCGGCCAAATTCATCAGCACGACCGCGCTTCCTGAGGAATTCAATTAGTCACTTGTATAATGGATAGGAGCAGACACTAATTCTTATTGATAAAAGCGGGYTTGGAATGATTTTCAGGGCTTGTCAAATCAGATGAATTCACAYGGAACAACAAATCTTGGAGCTGTTGGTAAAAATAACGACCTAGAAATCACATGTTCCGCAGTGAAAACCAGCAAAGGACGGCAGGGATGATTCAAAGGGCTATTCTATTACTTCAAGAACAGGTAACAAACCTGGTTGGAGCTGCACACACCAGGAACTTCCCTGGCATTTGTGTTAATCCCAGCTTTGCAAGTTGCATTTGCTCCTGCAAATTTCTTCATTCATCTTTTTTCTTCAAATTTCAGGGGAAGGCATTGCCTTCAGCGCTGCACAGCTCTTCTGTGAGTGACCACAAGACTAATTTGCTTTATTAATMATAAGATTTCAGAACGTGGGAAATGGAACAAGATGAACTTAAGCTGCTCAGGACCACGTGGCCAAAAATTCAATAAACTCCACGGACTAAGATGCAAGACGGCAAAATAGTGACAAGCAGCAGCTTGAAGGATGTTTTGAGGACAGCAGCAGTCTCACGTCCACAAATGTCCCACAAATGTCCCACAAATGTTTATGATGAAAATATTCAGCAGTCCCTTTCACAGCGCACCTAAATTTAGAGATGCTGGCAGGGCTGATGGAGTTCGCTCAAAACTCGAGCTTGGAAAGTAAACTCAAATTGTCATTTGGAAGTAGTTATTCTGACTTGGCCGGCTCAGGCAGCTCCATTTGGATTTGAGTAAGGAGCAACAGCCTTTGGTTTGCTCATGCAAACGTGCGCAATAGCATTTGCAAGGAGCAAGTTGATAAGAAAGCCCTGGAATCAGCCTTGCTGTAAATGTACCTGGAAATACACGGAGTGGAAAATGTGCACTGGAAGCCACTCTGAGAGCCTAAGCACAATGTAACTGAAAGCTGCAGAAAGCTGAAACCTGCCCCCAAATAAGAACTGCACCCCAGAACTGCAGGCTCATAACTTGCAACTATCAGAACTGGAACTCGGGCCAGTGTTTGGAGAAAGCTTCCAACTGCTCTGCTGGAGCTAATGCAGACTGGACCCAGAACTGGGGGAAAATCATGAGCCGCCTGCCTAAGAGCCGCTGAAGTCCCTGCTTCCTGCCTGCATCACTTCTGGTGCAGTTAAGGGCCTAATGCAGAAGAGCAACTTCTTGAGCAGTATTTTAAATTATTTTTATGTCCTTTTAATGGAATCCTTAAATAAAGCACTTCAAAAAGGAGAAAAAAAAAGAAAAAAACCAACAAAGACTACCACGTCTTTTTATATTTACAGTGCACACACTGGCAGCACTTTAAATGTAAATCTGCTTTAGCAGAAAGTACATTGAGACAAATGAGAAGGCTCTTTTATGAGGGACATCAATAACGTAAAGAGACCAAATGGGCTGAATGGAATAATTTATGTAGAAACAGTAAACTACCAAGCTATGTACATTTTACCTAAATACYGACCTGCAAGGCTGGGCTAATTGTGGCAGTTGTCAATATCATGACAGAAGGGGAATAAGGAGTAAAAATATCATTAAATGCTGAAGAGGAAGAAAAACTGCTTGGGCACAAGCATGATTAGGGTATGAAATAATATTCACAGGGAAGTAGCGGGTAATTCATCTACCCAGTTTAATGTTAGACAAAAGAGTCTCSTATAGGGAACAGTTTTGCCACGGCAGCACATAGATGAGATGCCTCCACAGAGCTCTCATTTCTGTGAGCCCCATACAAACGTTTATAGCAGGGCAACAAGACATTTGACAGAATATCAGCTGGATATAACTGCCCTTTYTTTTGTTTGTTTGCTTTTAATAATATCCTACTCAGTGAACAATCATTTATTTATAACAGAAAATGCTTCAGGAAAGAAAAATTCTTTGCTCTACTCCTTAACCTGTGCTACATTTGCAACATGATATTTGTACTTGAAATTTCTACCAGTTTGATAATAAACAGACTCAATTAATGAACTTGAAATATGCTCCTTGTGACATGGAAAAGAAATAAACMACATGAAAGAGTGTTTTCATTCTGAAGACTTCAAGCTACTGCTTTTGACACTGCTGGTACCGACAAGAATAACCCGGATCTCAACGGGAAACACCACCTTAACGCAATTAACTTGGAAGGAAGCAGAGGGGCCGGGTACCTTCTTGATGGTGTCCAGCATGGAGCGTCCTCCCTGCCAGGGCTTSGAGTTCTTCCTGATGCAGGTCAGGCTGGCCATGCTGTGCCACTTTCTGTCCTCCAGCTTCTTGTGGAAGGCGTTGGCCAGCAGCAGCACCGTGTCGTAGATGTACAGGTTGGAGATCTGCAAGGAAGGAAAACGTGGGGATTAGCAGGTTACTTGTGCTGCCCGGCCAGACAGAATTTATCTTTTTTTTTTTTTTTTTTTTTTTACTTCAGCCAAAACTTGCTGAAAATGGCTTGTTTGGGAGTCAAAAAATCAGTTGTTTACCACTAACACCAGCCTGGGAGGGTAACACTACAGCCAGCGGGTACAGACAAGCTGCACACGTGAAGTGCAGCCAGTCCCATCACTCGCACGGTTCCACTTCCAGGATTAAAAGCCCAGCTTGTCTATTTAAATGGACTTCCATGAGCTCATCTACTTGAACAGACTTCCTTTAGACAGAAGGAGTTGTGAGGAACTTGCAGTTTCTCGGGCAGTCACACACCATGCATTGCTGCTGCATGTGTGTGCTTCACAGGCAGCACGCTGACACACAAAGGGTGTGAGGAGGGTCCAGTTTAGCATCAGCTAAGGGAAAGGTTCGGCTCGGGGAAACAAAGAAGCCTGTCTGCCCATTCCACTGAGCCCATTACCTTTTCTATATGTGTACGTTTAAACACATGCAGTACAAAGTTGGATGTGACACACGCGGTTCAGGGCAAAGCAACACAAGTGCATCATCACAAATGCTTCCAAAAAATAATCTAAAAGAGCAGCCTTTTTTTCCACTCGTGTCCCAAAATGCCAGAAACGTTTAAGCTGCTAACAGCACCGTAAATAGAACCACAGGTGCTTGGAAAGCAAAATGACACTCAGAAACGAGAGGGACCCTTGGGGATATTATTTTTGGGTAACCAGCGGGTCACGGGAAGCCCCGGGGCTTGCAGCTATCCACGCAAGCCCCTTGGCCTCAGCTGTACTGTGAAGGGGAGTGGGAGGGCTGCGAGCCCCTGAAAACTAATTAGCTAGCAGCAATTTGCTAATTGAGGCAGGCTGGCTGCCCCCTTTATTTATTTTTCTTTCTTTTTCCCCTCCATCAGTCATAGGCTTGCCAAAGACCCAGATTTGAGGAATATGTTCAATGCTCCATGCAAGGGCTCCTCTGTGCAGATGGTCTACTCAAAACCTTAAAAGGAGGATGTCTATAATAAGAAATCATGCCAGCTCTAGGGAGAATGCCCTTATTCTGCCTCATGAAAACACCCAAACACTGGGCAAGTCCTGCAGGAATTGGGAGCAGGGAGAGGCCAGGAAGCACAGTAATTCCGAGGAATTCCACGGCAAGCCCACACACCACCCTCCAAAACAGAAGTGTCTCYTCCTGCCAAATTACTCCTTACAATGCAGGTGTTTATTGTATATTTTGATTTTCTTGCATAAACCCCATCTTTTGTGCTGGCTTTGACTACGCCACCTGCAACCTGCTCTTTACGATTCTCTGGGAAAGCTCTTGCTGCAATTTCTTCCCTCACCAGCATCCAGGGAAGAGTTCATCTGTCTCCAGAGAATGTCCTTGGGCATTTCGCCTCCTACATTTTATTTAAGGAGATCTAATGGTCTGCCCCTCTCCCTCCCAGGAAACTCCTGGGATTCCCTAGTGCTGAGCTACTGACCCTATTTGTCTTTTTCTTTGAACAGCAACAATCTTGACTCCCTTTTTTTTCCCCGGAAGATGGATTTTCCTTCTTACTCGAGCTTTCCCGCCAAGCCCAGTGGTTCTGAATACTCTCATTCGCCAAGCTGGTCGTGTAACACAGGACCTAACTAAGTTAACTAACTTCCTGCAAGGGTAGGGCTCGGAATCGCTGTGATTTGCGGCAGAGATCGAGCTCCAGATCCATGCACCACTTGACAAATAATGCAGTTGATCTACCTACATATTCCCTACACCTACAAATAATTCCAAGAATTTGGCTACCACAGTATTTTCCCACAGAAGCCTGCCCCAAGAGAACATTCATTCCAGGGGGAAAGAAGGAATTATTGCAGCTCTGGGACACCCGAGGTCATTTTACATAACCAAAATGAAAGGAGAGCGCAGTGGCAATATGGGCACTAATGAGACTAAATTGGAACATGAAGGGCTGCAGATGCCAAGTCATCATTTCCCAGCAAAATGACATTGCTCTCAAGGTGGCTTCCACAACCTAATAGCACGGGAACAGAGAGCTGTTGTCACAGCTCATGAGGAAGGATGCACCCGCTAATCTAAGAGTAATAGAGCTGCGCCTTCATCAGGCATTMATAGCGCTCAGGAGGACAGAGTTCAGCAATTATTAAGCGTTGTTATTCCTTGCCTAATAGTTCAGCTCAGCATTAACAGCAATCAATCACCGATAATACAAAGATAAAGACACTACAATTAATTTCTGCTTGTGAAACTCACCCTTCCCTTTCACTGCCAGGCTTGTGCGTCATTAATAACCACCCCAGGGGCTGCAACTTAAACTTACTTTGCACTTTTACTCCTTTCCCATGTAAATTTACACGCTGAATATAACTCAATAATGCCAGATAGTGGCAACATTACCTTGAGAAATTAACTMAAGTTAACCTAAATGAACTTTATTTTATTTTTCTAAGAAATCTGAAGCAAGATATTAGTAAATAGATTAAGTATGTGTAATTAATATGGATTAAATATGCTTCTTCTCAATACGATTTGACTAGTTTTCAGCTTTGTTTTAGCTGAGTTTTTAGCCTAAAGGATAACAGCAATAAAAACTTCTAGTAATCCAACTTCTAACTTCTCTTGCCTTTTAGGAAGGGTCTCTAAAGCAACATACATTGTTTTGACAAGGTCTATCCTATAGACACAACAAATAATTGTCACAAAACCTTTCCCAGTGTTGTAATTAAGATGCTTAAAATTCAATTCAATTCCAAAATTAAAATGTTAATTACTCCCATAGCCTTTAGGTGGAGTAATTTAGAAAAAGAAAAAAAATCCACTTTAACAATTTCCAGAGAATATTTCTGATTGGTCACACTTTGATACCATAAAAAAATTATTTAAAAAATACCATTTTCTATTTATAAACTGCTCCTGGAACAGAAGTTAATTTATAATATTGTTGGGAAGAACGAAGGAGGAGYGAAGGAGCCCCATAGGTGCTCCAAGGCACGGGCGTCACCAGGGGAAGCTGCATCCAGCTTGCTCTGCCTTTCTCCACGGAGCGCAGTCCCACTCTGCTCCTTTTCCTGAGGAAAAAGAGCACACGGCAACTTGGCCGCACAGAGCAGTTAAACTCATCAAGCCTCCGTTGTTTCGTCGTACTGAAAATTTATGAAAGCTTTCAACAGGAAGATGACAGCTATCCAAGCAGCACTGTGATCAAAACACTTAGGTTAGGACACACAGCCCGCCTCGAGCTGAACTTGCCAATTTGTAGCCAACAAGCTCTTCTACAAAATGGTTTGATTTGGGCTTTTTTTTCCCCCCCCCCCAGAGTGAGTTCAGTATGGCTGAACTGAAAATAAATTAAAACATGAAGCCTCCCATTAAGACCGAGCTCATTTTCGATGCCGCTCTAGTGAGCAGCTCGGCTCGTGCAAACTGCTTGGCTCGATCTCTGGTGGCTGCACATAATCAGCCCCTCCGTTTTCCCCTATTACCCACAGACCATCCAAGCTGCCCCCGGGGACCGCCAGCCGCCCCAGCAGCGCGCTGCAACCCAAGCGTTTGTCACAGYGCCCCAGCAGGCCCTCGAGAAGCGCTCGGCACTCACTGACCCACACAGCCCCGCGTATTTTAGAGCACCAGCCAGCAGCGTGCTGAGGCTGAGGGGTTTTCAGGCCGTCCCAAGTTGTCTGCTGCTCTAGAGGCAAGGAAGCAGCCAGGGATTCTTCCAGCTAACCCGAAACACGGCAGGTCCAGCCACGCTGCTCTTGCTCTCTCTTCCCCTTACACATTTATTCATTTCCATCAAGGACACTCCTTCACATCTACCTGTTTTTCTCCCATTGCCTTCTCTCACTCCCCTCTTTCTTTTGGCTCATGGTTTTCCTGAAGACTGCTGGCTTTGCTGCTCAGCCAGGGACCACTGCCAATACGGTCTTCTTTCTGCAAGTCTGTATATGACCGTGCCAAAGAACCAGTGTAAAAAYCAATATTTTCATCGAATTTGGCAATCCTGGTTCAGCATAACTTGGCCATGACTAAGCCCAACCAGACATCCTAAGAGAGAGAAGACTGGCTCTTGAAAAAATGCATGYAAGTTTGATAGGAGAGTGACCATGATTAGTTTCTGATTTCATACAGTAGTAGCCCTTCTCATCCATCAGAATTGCTCTCCCTGCCCAAGCATCTTCCCAGTCTCACGATGAACCCTTAAACTACATATTAGCAAGGACGTGAAAAACAAACTTAAGCTCAGCCCTGTTTCCCTCTGGGGAAAAACCTTCGTCATGGAGGAGGACTTTTATGACTTTTCACAGGTGGGAATAGCCCGGTACGGAGCCTACCTCCATGCTCTGGGAGAAGGGGTCCTTCGGATCGCACAGCGAGGAGGAGATGCGGTGGTTGCCACGGAAACAGCGCTGACTGAYGTTCTGGGGGACAGGAAACGTCTGCCGGATGATGGTCAGCCTCCCGATGGACCTGCGCACCAGCTCCTGCACGTCCGCGTCGCTTATCTCCTGCGAGGACAGGGCACAGAACACGTGGACGGGGTGAAAAAGCAGAAGTGAGACCACGGAATTGCAAATGGAAAATCAGCCCAGAGGACCCAGAGACCTGGGGCTGATGCACGGCTGCCGCTCAGCGCTGCACAGAGCACTTAGGAGAACATAAGCAAGCTCGCTGAGATGGTCAACCAACCACACGTATAACACTCCAAAGAAAAAAATATAACTAAATATGTTCATAGGCAAAGCATTAAGCTTAAAGGATTAATTTTAATGGCAGGTTAAAGAAATCAGGAAAGCAGTTCCCTACGTATTAGAAACACGAGGAGCCTGCCAGGCAACAGGGGCTTTGCAGCATTGAAAGATGCAGCCCTCAAATTAGATGGGAAGGAGCGTGGGCTCACGAGCACAGCCATAAAAACTGCAAGGCCCGAGAAATAAGCTACTAAACCTCTCAGTCTCTACAGCTAGAAGACATTTTCCATTATATTGAACCACTGGTTCAAAAACTGCCTTGACCAGACTAGATGAATATTCTTGATGCCCCAAAACATGCTAGGTGAATTTCTAGTATTTTCCCCCCAAAATGAGCTTGACTTCAACAGCTCCATGAGTAGCCTGCACATAAATACTCCTGCATTCAATCAATGCTTACTGAATATTTCTGACTCTCTTTTGTGTGTTTTTAGCTTTTTTTTTCTTGTAGCACATCTGCATTGCTGTGCCTGTAACTAAAAGTCATCTTTTTTCTGCCTCTAGCTGCCTGATCTATATCCGTAACCAAGAACTGAAGAGACATAAGGAGCAARATTTGAGCTCAAATGGTAAAATTTCTCATAAAATGACCATCAAGCTTTTTGAATACACAGAGTTTTAAACGTCAAGACAACTAATCCTGCAATTCTGGCTGTTGCGGAGCTTCAGCTAATATTCTTTAAATAAACCTTTCTGAACTAACTGGTTCAGACATATTGCCACTCATTTAGTTCCTTTAAAGTTCTCAAGATAAACGGCGCAACGTGTGAATTGTAACTTCAACTCTCTTGACTACACTAAAACCCTTTATTCCTCTTCATAGAACGCCAGAGTTTTCAAACCCAACTGTTATGAATGTTCTTTATGAAATATAGATTTTTTGCTGCAAAACAAAAATAACACACAGCATCAGCTGCGTCCAGCGTAATATCTTGTATTTTGGGTCAATTACTCCTTAATGTACCACAGATAATGGTTTCTCTCAGCTTAGGATCCTGTCTTTTTGTTTAATCTGTATTGTTTCTCTAGCTATAACGTAAAATACAAACTGCTGTTTTAGTCAAATACTTTTTTTTAAAAAATACTTTCAACCTAATTAGAAGGAAGATTACAAGAGTCTTATGCTGATTTTCAACTACATCCCTTCTGAAAGACGTTTAAAAAAAAGTTCATATGGTTTTCATTGCACATTGTGCCCAAGCTATAACAGAGATCGTTTTGGTAATGTAAAGAAAAGAAAGATATCTATGTGGACACACTACATTGCTAAATACAATTTTAGGAAAAAAAATCCCTTTTGGCTGCTCTTTTATCTTTCCTCCCTCAAAATCTTTTCTTTTTCCCTTGTATTCAGCATTTTTGGGGGGAATTTTCATTAGAAAGTGCTCGCTTTCACCTCTAGGTTACCCCCACCTATTTTTATACCTCATCTGGAGACTAATAATAGAATCCAAGCACCAAAGAGATTTCCCTGCGGCCCGAGATTTCAACAGATTAATGACAACTATTATTCTAGATGTTAAGACTTGCACTGATTATACCACAGACTCAGCTTTCAAGTTCACTACAAATCAATACCATGCAAACACAAACTCAGCTTTAGCAATTTGCTATGTATTTCTCTGCCGTGCTTTAATACTTGGCACTGTCAAGAGCCTTTTATCTAACGACTCTCCAGTATCATCCCTCATTCTTGAATTTTGGATCTGACTTAAGAAAACTATATAAAGCAACTATTGTACGAGAGAAAACAATTTGCATTTGCACTTCAAAGGAGGATACAGAATAATGATGGAAGTGTGGCAGATGAGCTGTTATRCAAGAATCAAATGTCAAAAAAGAAAAAGACAAAGTAGGCCACGCTGAACCTATCTGGCACCTGTATGCATTTTGTGATTTTTTTTTTTTAATTAGAATTTAATTAGAAGCTCAATATGCACTTGCAGACCTTCCTTTAGTTGATCTGGGGTTAGAATAAAGGTCTGCTGTCGTATTTCACCTGGAACAGGGATAAAATCAGACGCCCATTTCATTCTAACAGCCAAGCAAAGAGAGAAAGGAGAGTGATTTTAAATGAATAGCTGCTTAGAGATGAGCTGGGAAATGGGAACTGAGATCAACTCTAGATACCAGGCACCCAACTCCAGTGGGAAGCCAGACAACATACAGGAGAGCTAATACATGCTGCCATTCAGCCCAAACAGATTATTTTAAGGTTTTCTTCCTTTCCCATTCCTCTCCTTAAGGGAGTTTTCCCATTCCAGGTCCTCGTGCCTTCGGCAATCAGAAGCCTCCTGCTGACTTTCGCCCCCTACGTACTCCTGGGCAGGTTGAGCTCATCTGTTTTGTGCCACCCCGGCCCTGCAGCCCTTGACCCCACTGTGTTCATGGCACACCAGACACAGTGACAGGCGCAGAGCACAGCCCCTCTAAGCTTGGCCCTTTGGGCTAACCAAGCTCAGCTTTTCAGCCTCTTCTCCCCAACCTTATCTGCGTTTCCTGCAAACCTGCTTCCATTTTTTCTAATGCGTAGATTTGTGCACACTATGGCAGGTGAGACCCTCCCAGTCGTTAGCACGGCACCATTAATATTTTTATTTCATGAATGGAAGTCTTAGGTGGCGGGAAGCATTTGTGGCTGTCCTGGAGTGAACGGCAGCAGCAGAGAACTGGTGACAGCCCTGAGCATAAAACGATGACCCTGAATGCTTTTAAAAAGCTAAACGCTCAAGTCAGACAAGGATTTAAAATAAAAACCACTTTTTTTTCCAATGAAAAAGGAAGAAAACTGATGAAAAGCATACGAGTGTCTCTTCTACAGCTCCACTAAATAAAATCTGATGCACACTTTGGATTTCGGAGCCAGAAAGAAGGGTAATGTTCGTGTCCTGGGCTGCTGGAGGCGGCATTTACTGGGGTGCAGAGGAGAGAAGAAAGCAGAGACAGAGAGGCAGGGGAGGCAGGAGGGAGACACGGGGGCCGGGGGAGAGGGCCACACTGACAAATCCACTCTCACATTTTGCTCTGGCCTATTTGATCATCACTAAATTCAACTCTATGACTCTTGCAAATTGTAAATAAAGAATTAAGCCATCTGCTTTAAGGCCCYGAAGAAACAGGAGCAGCCATTCGCAGAGTCCTTAAATGTAAAGACCAGGCAGAAGAGATTTGCAATATTTGCAAGGGACTAATAAGATAGATATTAGGCTTTAGCAAATTTTACTTTATAGGAAAACCCCCTTCCCTCAATGTGTAGTCCTGAAACAAATTTGTTGTATTAACTAAAATGTCAATAACCAGGACAATAAAAGCTAAGTAACTCTTTCCAGGCACTATAACACTTAAAGCTAGAAATTAAAACAACAGATGCCAGGCTGCAAACCTAAGCAGATTCACAATCCCAAAATTGAAGGTGTTTTTTCCTTTCATGTTATTATACACAGTACAAGTGGTGTATGAATTTGGCAGCATGATGGAAAAGGGAAATTAGCCCTAGCTTTAATATTTCATTGCAAGGGATTATTTGRATTGTGTAGTCCTTGCAAAGAAAAAGAAATCCAACCTCTATCCAGTGATAAACTCTCAAATTAGAAGGTCAGAAGAGCACTGTTACTTACTTAAAATAGTTTCTTATTTGACAGCTGAATTTTGCTAAAACAAGTGCCCCGATCACACATGCCCAGGGAGAATAGTTTAAGAAACTGTAAAAAAAAAATGGACAGAGCTCTCGAATCATTTCAGAGTTGTTTCCAGGAATCACAGTCATAAATAACTAAAGGAAAGCCACACARAATGGTCTGGCTTAGGATGTGAAGGCAGCTGTTATAACCCTGCACTCTAAGGGTCCTGCAAACCACTCCAGTTCCAAATCTTGCACTGCCAAAGGACGGGGGGGGGGGAGGTCTTTGTCACCTTATTACTGAGCATGTTGTCATGARTAAATAACATCATGAAACATTCATCATTCAGGAAATCTTTACATTTGCTCAGAAAGCAAAATTTGGTCCACAGAGACACTGATTTCCGAAAACAAATATTCTCCCGCCCACAGAAAACGCTCAGAGTGCAACCTCTGGTTTGACTTTGCTGTTTTTGGGAGAGGTAACACCACTAAAACCAAGTATCTTTCTCTGTAGCTTTCCAGTTCAAATTCATTTAGAGTTGACCAAACTGAAGAACTTGCAGCAAGATCTTTCACTTAAGTGGCAAAGCTATAGCTGGGCTCCATGTGGGAACTTGATCTGATCCACTCATATTGAGGTTAATGGTTGACYACTTCTGACCAAACTGTTAATTTATTTTGACCCCAAATTACGGACACAGCACTTATCAAAATACAGTTTTCCACCAAGAAAATTGGCAAAAAAAAGGTTGGGAATTTACTGCGTTTGAAAGAGTAGACCAAACATCATCTCGCTGCAATGAAGTTAATGGAATACATATGTGCAAAAAAACTACTTTGGAATCACTTGCATCACTCTAATTTACTGTGCAAATGGAGATCTACCAACTAAGCAGGCAAACAGGGGTGTTCAGTAAAGCCAGAGAGCAAATCTGGACTTTGTAAGCAATTTCTCCAAGTTATCCTTTATTTTGGGAACGCAGAGAAGACAGACAACCTACATTAGGGGACAGTTCCCTTCCCAGGGAGTTCCAGCCRTTCTGGACCTGATTTGCTTTTCATAAACCAAAGGAAAAACGTGAATGCAGCCAAGAGCTGCATGGTTCAGTGTTTTATATGCAAAGCCATTTGCCTTATTGACTTGTCATATTTTAGCTGACAAGCTCCCATGGAAGAGCCTATTGCAMAACTTAAAAATGGGCTCTCAATTCAACTTTCTTTCAGTTTTCCCTTTATGAGCATTTGTGTGTGACCTTACCCTGAACTCTATCAAAAAGCCTCCCACAGCTATCAATGGGTTTGGATGACAACCATGATTGATTTCTAGAGGGATTTTTAAAGGTAAGATGATGATACTTTAGAAAAAAAATAAAATATAGACAGAACAAAAGCACTTCACCAAAGAAAAGTCTTTTAAAAAAATCTTAAAACAGTCAAATCAAAAGTGAAGGCTAAAGATACCCAGTAGGGAAGTATTTTTCATTTATTCACACAAGGAGGTCTGTTTTAAATAGGCAAGACAAAGCAACAAAGCCCCCAAACTTGTCATTCTGGCCATACTCAGCAGCACCCAGCGTGCCCCAACTGTGTTGCAGCTACTGCTTCCTCTTGGAAACGTCAAGACCAGCATGAAAATCGTCAGAAAGCCTCCAAACAGGATTCATGGTTCACAACGTTTGCCTGACAGTTACCTCATTTATAATGATCCAGTGACAGTCGAAAGCAACCAAATTCGTCTCCACGACCTGAAAGAGAGAACAAACCAGGCATCAGTCAGCTTGCTCATGAAAGGGGAATAAATAAATAAAATATTAAATGGATGCTCTCTCCGAGCAACACAAACTCGAAGCACATGCTCTCCAAGACCTTTGCTATTCAGCAGAGGATAGAGAACCTTTAGTTAAATATGACAGGAGCGCTTGGGTTATTGTTTGACTTGGTAATTAAACTTGGAAAATACATTTCACTGCTGGCATTGCAGAAGAGAATATGTTTGACTGAGGAGAAAAGGAAATCAGTTTTGTCTTAATATTGCCTGGTGAGATGGAACAGCAGGGAAGAAGGCGGAAAATGACTATCAAGCAACTCCTGTTAGATCCCTGGAGTTGAGGCCTCTCCAGTCCTCATCTGCCCTGGAAGATGGTGATTTGAAGGGAAAACAACAAAAACAGAACCAACAAACAAATTATGCCCATACATAAATGCAAGGGTGGGGAGCAAAAGATCCCTGGAGCAAGAGGGATGTCACTGGGATGAGCAATGTGACGTGGCTTCCCTCATACGGATCCTCTTGACCTTCATCCCACRCCTCCTCTTCCCCTTCCTGCTGGTGAAGGCCATTGCAGGAGCTGCCCCTGCACGGGACACGTCCTGCTCGCTGCTTTCCTTGGAGCCCTCTGYGGCGAAAGCTGAGAGGAAGGAACTGCAGCCCGTGCAATTCTGTTGGCAGGAAGGGCAGCCCTTGACAGAGGCAGGAGCAAACTGCAGGAACGGCTGGAGACTGTGGCAGTTCTTGCTACTGATCAAATCCAACTGGCATTGACAGTGAAGGAGTTTTAAAATCAAGTTAATTCACTGGTTCACACCATCCACATCCTTACTGTGGCACACAATTCCMAACCAGCAGATACTGAGAGCTGTGTTGAATCCCAGAGAAACAGAAGACAAGCGCTGGGACAAGGCCTCCAACTTGCAGCGCTGTGACACCCCAAAACGTGGGCTCGTACGGTTTGGATCACAGCAGCGACGCGTGGCGTCCAACAGAGCCCGGCACCAGCCACAGCAGCACTTTCTGTAGGGCAGTGTCCAAAGGACAGCGACTGCACCAGCCACAAGTGCAACGAGCAGTCCGAGACCCCCCGGCGACATTTCCCACCAGAGGCATGAGAACTGGGCTCAATACTTGCTGACTGTACTGAGAGGCAAGAGCAGAAATGCTAATCCAAAGACATTAAAAAGTAAAAATCTAAAAGCAGTAAGACAGGAACTAACTTGGTAGAAATTCTCACAGTGCCAATAACAAATGAGGGGAAATGAAAGCTKCAGCCATTAATCTGCTCCTGGAAAATTTCAGTATTGCTAGCCCTAGGAATTAGGGTGTTCCCATATTTTGAATTCATACTTATTACGTTGTTGCTTTTGTGATGACAGGATAATATTGTATCATGTGGCTTTGCCATCTTCCAGCAAGGAGGCACTCAGGCACTCACACGGTACCAATCTCAGGGTGGCATTAAAGGCGCGCAGGAGCACGTGGGGAGCCGGGAGAACCGTGTCCCAAAAGCATCTGCCACGTCCTCCATCCACCCCAGAGGTCAACGAGCCCAAACTTCAACCAGGAACCCTCTGCRAAGTGAAAATTCACATTTCTCTGTTCATTGGTTATTGACACGGTGAAAACGGGGTGGCCTGCTACCTTGCTCTGGATGTTTGGCTCATCTCTTTGTAATGCACTTGCTCTTCCATTAAGGAGTTTGTTTTGGTTCATTTTGTGTGGGTTTTTTTTTTTTTTTTTTTTTTTTTTTTAAATCAACATGTGGGTCTGCTTATTCACAGCCCTCAGATTTCAATTAGATGAGATCTTTTCAATAAAGGAAGGATTTTAAGTAGCACTGTTTTTATTACATACTTGTCTCAAGCCGCTTAAGCCAGACTCCGGAGAGGCTTCTTCCATCTATGCCTAGTCTCACCAGTCACTTATTAGTTCAGACAGATGATGCTACCCATGATGGATTTATTTGCAACTTGCAAATAAGATGAAATGCATCTATTTTTTAGTTGTAGATGAAACTGTTGAGCAGAAAGATCATGTTTTATCCATTAAAGTTTATGGATTCATGAATCCACTTAATATTAAAGCCAGTTTCAAAAAAGATTATGTCAAATTAAGATGAACCTTCTAACATATCCAGAGACACTCAGACTAATATATCCTAAGTTTAGACAGGCTATGAATAGCCTACAGTTTAAGAATTTACTTTCCCCTTTCAGTCGGTCAGAGCCAACTTCTGGCATCTTCCTTAGCCTACTAACCCAAACTTTGTTCTACTATTCATAGCGGTTGTGTAAAAAACAAGATAAAAATGAAATGACAGATGATGCTGTAAGAAAGCTGTTTTTTTTGGATAATGAAATATAGATTAACAGATAAAGTAGATTTATAAATCCAGCATTAGGCTGGAGTTTCAGAGTCATCTTTTTGTCCTGGGGCCATTCACAGTCTTACTCAATGACGTCCTAGATCTCCTAAAATTTCTTTAAAAATATCTTCCATTATCGGCAGGATCAGGATTCACTCGCCTCATTGCAGTCCCTCACCTCCCAGTACCTATTGGGAATCTATAGTCAAGAGCAAATAGTTACATAGATGCCCATAGCATCTATTTAACTACCTTCTAAAGGAGAGCAGGATGTATTCTGACTATGTCTGTATGAACTGCAGGGCTCTGTATTATCCCCACCACTGATAACCCTTCAGCATTTCCCAGCTATTGCACTTTCTGTTTTCTAGCACAGAACAAGAACACACAGACTGAGTTGCCGTTTTACAGAAAATAAACTCAACACTACATATKCCCTTCCTCCTGGTTTGAAACTTGAAGGAAGAGGTCATTCAGCCCCAAGTTTCCTTCGGACACTGCCCGCATACGCATAACCCAATGCAGGCATAAGATGCTCTCCATCAGCAGTTATTAGGTATGGGTTTGCAAGTTCCTGATTTTATTAAAACACTAGAAAATCCCCACCAAACAGACCCTGTTAAAGCCCCGGGAGCACAAGTAAGATGCAGTTACCCACCAGCACAGCAGCCACCGCTTGGACAACCCCGACAGCGCTCCACGACGCCCCTGTTGCAGCTCCGAGCTTTGTTTGCCCAAAGAGCCCCTCCGCCTTCACCGGGAAGGGCAAAAGCAAACAAGGTGATAGCCATAAATAAAAAGGGCTTTTCTGATTCTGCTAATGTTGCCCCTCCCCTGGGCAGCCGCGCAGGGCAAGGACAAGCGGCCACCACCTGCAACCAGCACCTTGGGTTCACGGGAGGCAGGATCGGGACAGGRGCTCCCGAGTCCCACTGCCTCGGTCACAGCTGCGATACTGTGTGCTCAGGAAGGGATTGAAAACTCCTATGGAAATTTCCATAGGAGACAGAAGGCAGGCACACGGATTGCTTATGCAGCTCACATTTAGGCTAAAGCTGAGAGAAAAACTGCAGCGTGCGCTCATAACGAGGGCTGAAAACCCAAACCCCATGCAGCTTTTGAAGAGGAGAGAGTTAACTCTTTGCAAGGGAGGAAAAAAGCACCTATCAGAAAAAAAAAAATGTTTCTTTCCTTTCAGGGAAAGCATCCAACTGAGGGCTACTGCACCCACAAAACTCTAAGCTCAGCTCAGCTCTATAAGCAGTTGGCAGCTGGGGGAGCATTAGGGCACCGTCTTGCCCAAGTTGACTTTGCTCAGGCTTTTCCTTAGGCTTTGGAGATCAGATGCTGAGACAACCTCTGGTTTGACCCAAAACATCTGCCTCCCTGCTCCCAAATATATTGCACTTGCTTAACTGTGGTGATTCATATTGGCAATAAAAGCAGAACCCTATTAGTTCTCTGCCAACTGTTGTGGAGCTCAGACTATCTTTATTGACTGAGAAGGTAAATATTTGAAAGTGCTGGCTGCCTTCCTAATGCTCACCACAAAAACAATGGCAATAAATGARGGGTTTTGTGCTGTTGAGGCCCGTGCTCTGCTCCGAGCAGCTCACGCCGTTCAGTCGCACCCAAACAGATCCATGTCCCACAAACAGGCCGAGCGAGGCCAACAGAGCCAGTGACTTCAAAGAAKGAGATTTCTGCCATTTGGGATTTTTCATTTTTAAGCAGTTTTGGTTAATTTTTACAGCCCTATTTCATCCCTATCTCCATTACTAAGAACCCAAGCTGTATGTTGGCAGGCCAGTTGCAAAACAGATTTCATGAAATCATGCAAAGCCTGAAAAAGGAGCCTCGCTCCCTACTCAACTCCCGTTCAGACTGAATATTCACCCCGGAAAATTGAGAAACGCTGCGACACCATTCGCATAAATCCTGCAAGAGAGGATGTGGCCCTTAGATTCCTCAGTGCCACGAAAAGCCACCGCACAGCTATACAAGATCATTCTTACCACTGCACAACTTCAGGAATGTGTTCGTGTCTAGCTGCAGCAGTTTTCCTAACACCCTATTAAAATAAATCAAACATCTCCTTCGCGGGGAAGGTGTTCCACCTAGTCAAACATGGTGCTATTGAACTGCTCAGCGAGGACAGGGCTGGGGCAGAAAATAATCTTCTGAAGAACTCAGCTACACACCAAGGGAGACTTTGCAGAGAGCGGAAAAAATGCTGTCAAGAAGACAAGTGATGAGCAAGGACAAACCATCTGTCACTGGCACTAACTCCAGAACTTCAGGATCTGGGGAGGAGCCCGACAATTTATCACGACCATTTCTATTGTGCACTCCCGAATCTTGAAGCAGGCACGAGAAGCCAACGCAAATAAAGCAGCTTCTCTCACGTGTAGTAATAAGTAGGAAAGCAAAACAGCTTCCAAGGAGAAGCACTAGGTATTTGAGCAGGGAACTACAATGTATAGACTCAGACCACAAATAGGTGCTGGCCAAAACTACTCAGTATGGACCAGGAGAAAGGAAACACAGAAGAAAAATAAAAATGATTGCAGATCTTCAAAATCCATCTCGGTTCCCACTCAGCACGT